CATTTGATAATAGTCATATGTTGAGCTGGTACATTGTGAAAACTATGATTATCCGAATTCAGCCGCAGATATTTTTGATTTGTGGAAGCCTCCACAAACACTAAGGACGTCACGCTTCACGTCTCATAGTTACGTTTCCTCATTGACGATAATACGGTTGTTTGCCTCGCAAACAAATCAAACCTTAAGCACCCTTACTGGTCTTCTCATCGATGTCAATAACAAAGCCCCTTTGAGGACGGAACAAGTTAAAGCCTGTCTTGATTTCATTTCAGTGCGCTTAAATAGGAGGATTGAGGGTAAAAATCTCCATCCTGTGGTTAGGAAACGCTTTGGTCAGTTTGAACGACTAAATGGGTTATTATCGGCACTTTGATAGCTATATAATATTTCAATTACTTTTTTCACATGTTAGCTCTAACACAGCCAATACAACTCTAACTTGTGTCGTATTTCCCAACAACTTAGATGTGGAAACCGTACTCACCGAAAGCGGCTATGGCCGGAGCAGTTAAACTTGGTCACAGAAAGCAGTTTTCAAAATTGTTATGAAGAAAACAGGATACTTATGGCCACCTTCGTCACACATTACTGATATCTGAGTTAGAAAGTGTAATTAGTTGAATTAGTTAAGCCCATGTATTGCAAAGTTTTAAACCGTGCTTTAAAAGCCCCGCTAAATAAAAGCCGCCCTGAATGAGCATGACATTTTGGCTGCACTTTCCGGCTTATTACCACCAATCAGTAATTCACTGAGCGATATTCAACCGTGCAGGAAAACTTTTCACACTCATAGTAAGTCAAAAACTTAAGCTGATATCTACAAGGTCGTCTCTAAATCTGAAGAAATTCCTTTTGTCTACGGCTTCAAAATTCGTCACATTTCAGGGGGGAGCAATTCATCTAGTTCCAGGAAATTTATATCCAAGCTAAGATCTGACAGATAGTAGTTCTAACTGCCATGAAAAGTTAACAGCTAAACACATTTTAGTTATCCGGCAAAAAGCAAGCGCTCATCCGTTGTACTGACGAAACAATTTAATTGCCGTAAAGTTGTTTGTTCTTCCAAAAAATAAGGTAATGGTGAATGCCTACTTTATATCAAAAAGTCATTGCAATCAATTCTAGAGGTACCTAGCTTAAAGACTGGCGTGTAAATTCCTCACTATCATTTATTGCGCTATGAACCGTGTATTTAGTGCTGACAAGCTGCTCAGACACAAGGGGTTCCAGGTGGTGGCCCCCAGGTGGAAAGAAGCACTGTTGCATTGTATGGCCAGAATATCGTCATCAGCATTTGACACACTGATGTAAAATCTCAAATTATTTATGGTGGATTGCACAGGGTACTATCACGTTTTTAAAAAACACTAGTACGTGCTTGTTCTCCTAATCTCTCAGCCGTTGGCGCTTTTAGGCTGAATATTTGTGAGCACAGCTCACATTTTCAAACCCGTGTTTTTGGATTTTTAAAGATCTTATCATGGTACGAGCCTGCACATCGTGTAAGTAATCTATATGTGTATTAGGCTTTTGCACGGTTAAATCTTCCATTGTTAGTTAGGATAAGCTTATTACATTCTGATGAAATTTGCCCTTTAATACTGTATTATAAGTACGCATGCTACTCAAACTCCCCTATTTGAGTTGGCATCTTCGCAATTATCAAAATACTTATGAATACCCGTTAGTATTCTAAAAAAACGCTGATAACCCTAATAAATGTGGGGTATCCTATAAGATAGCTTATTGTATGTTATCTCCTACAATGGCCAGTTTAAACCAAACTAAAAAGCTTTTACTTGAAAAAGCTCCAATAAATCCCGAATTTGGTAACTTCCTTATAATGGACTAACAGTCATATCCTGATGGTTTATCAAACAGATGGTAAGCAAACTTCCTGAACTTTTCAAACTTGCCGTTAAACTTAGGCGCAATCCACTTATGGACTGATAAACGCAAAAACCGTTGGACAGAATAAAATCACTAAAACATTCAATTAAAGCACTTCGGAAATAAAAAATCTACTTACAAGAGAGCACAGATTACGATACAGTGTTTAAGAATAATATGCGTGCAAAAAATTCTAGATATCAACAGAGAGGCTAGAAAAGTGACACTAAATTCTACACTCAGAACTTTAAGAAGCAGACTTCACGGTATTTGTTTAATGAAAATCTAATTCTAACAACCAAGTGCAACAAGCTTGCTTAAGTAAATAAGCAGAAAATTTCAACAACCTTTGATTTCAATAACAACCTTGGCTACGTCAGAAAAATACTTTTTGGAGTGTCTTTCCAGAGATATGAGATTTCTTAGTGCTTGCGGTGTAACATGTTTGAAATTAGTTCAAATTTGAGACTCGAGCACTGCTAAGCGGTACAAACTACCTTAAATTAGGTAAATTGTTGGCTTGTATAGTTGATTTAGAAACAGAAGAAAGTATCCTATATATATCATACACATATTCCCACCAAATGTGGATACAAAATTTGAAGACTAAAAACAAACACCATAGTGTGCGTTCTATGGTAAGTGAATTATGTGCTAGCCAGCGCAACAATGTTAATCGCAAGCATGTACAGGCAAACAAATCCTCTCTAATGTCAAGGAATTCATTTACAACATTGTGGGATAAAACATAATATGTGGTAAACCTACAACTTCGGAAAAAGACCAATAACAGTTTTCAGCAGACCAGGTTTTGCAGAGCTAGATTATCTCTGGTTCGTCTAAAGGGGTTATTGAGCATAGCTGCTCACCTACAACTACGGACAACTAACTTCAAATAAGGGTGATCGTCTGCACTCCTAATATTCAGTATGCAAACGAAAAAAATGCTGTGGTAGACACCAGGCATGAGGTTGAAGATACGACCAGTTGGAATACACAAAGCTCAGAACGCAGTACTGGCAAACAACAGCAGACCTACAAGTAGTCCATTATTGAGAGTGCCTTAATATTTATTCCTGCTTCGCATTGGGCTCACCAACAGCCCAAGAGTAAAAGAGAAAATTTGCAAAAAATGGCAAGCCTGACAAGAAACGTACGCCAAAAAGGCTGTTTAGGTAGCCTACACAGAGCGTATGAACATGGACTTTAGTGCATCTTTCACACTGCCGTTCTGTTGAACTCCGGAGCATGACCAGTTTGACAACCACATTGTGACCAAAAACGGCAAGTTTTTCAGAGTCGCTATTTTGTATTCTGGATGGAATACGTATAACCTAGAAACTTGAGCGAGCATTGAGTATCTAGGAAAGTTCAATCAAGGGAGCAAAACTGTTTAACCTACACACAAGTTAGACCCATAACATATAAACTCGCACCGTTTGCGCCTTAGAATCAATCTTAAAAACAGAACGTTTAGAACCAAGAAGAACAGTGACGTCGACATTTTTTATTTCTGTGAGGGGATAAGTCTATCAGTAGGGATTTCAAAAATTGAATCCTAGACCACATTGTATAAGTGCGAATAAAGAGTAGTAAATAGGCTTCTGAGGAACACTTTTGGATTTGTTTTTTTTAGGTTAGTCTAAGGTCTTAAACTATCGTTGATAACTGCACGAGTTTTAGTTGCATGCAACCAATAATTCGTTTCTGGAAAACGCACTTTCGTCAGCCCTAAAATTTGTTGGTTTTTTTGGGGACGATGAAAATATAGAGCGATCTGCTGAACGACATGTGTGATACACCAGTGCTTGGCATCCTAAAAATTAATAAATCAACAACTATAGCATGAGTCAACGATTTAGAACAACTATTTGACCCTGAATGATACATTTAGTACATTTAGTCCCACCACCCTTATATGGGGTTGTCGGGCGCGGTGTTTTGCTTTTTACAGAACTGATAAATAAGAACCGCGTCCTTTTTGGACAATCTGAAACCGCAATGAGAGAATTCGATTGCATCCAACCCACTGGATTTATTAAGGTCCTTCCTCTTTTGTACGTAGTTATATGCTCAATTTCAGCTGATTTCTTGGGGCTTACAGTGCATCAAGGCCCATCACCTCACTTTATAATCTTCGGTCTCATTGTATTTTTGAGTTCAGCTGAGTTTAGTTTCCAGCTTTGGGTTAACATCCAAAACTGCCTAATTGCCAAAACCGTATACTTCGGTCAGATTATTTAACGACCGTTGAGAGAAAACCAGCGATCTTCATTACAAAATTCACAAACCAGTAGACAGCCGGGAATTTCTTTTCTAGATGACGGCACGGTTTGTGTTCTGCGTCCTCTCTGACCGAATAATCCTTGAGTCTAACCCTCCATTCTACTGACTCGTTGGAAGCACGATATTTTTATTGTTTTTTGAACGAATTGTTTGCCATGTGGATTGATCATGTCGTACAATCCATTATTTTTCTGAAGCGGAATTACATGCTTCGAAACTGGTGAAGGCTATTCCAGGCCAGTATCACCCACGTTTTTTTCATAGTCTTACTTCTGGTTTTCATTTATATTCTGGACTTTTCGGTTATATTTTAGTTAAGCTGACATTTTTATCACGACACATTTTAGCGAATCTCTGCCCATGTTATCAGTAATAAAGTGCTTCATAAAGCCCGCTGCACCTTTCGGATCCCAGACTCTTGATAGCAACGTAACGCTCTGTACTTCACTCCATGCCATAACTTGATCCCGAAATGCACAGTTCCACAGTGTCCTTCTATATTAACATGAATACGGGAGAGTTTTCTAGGTTTTATATGAGTATCAGCCTCCTACTGTGAATTTTGAACCTAGTGACTGATGTCATCTAAAACGAACCTTTGTACACGAATGACTGGATGGTTATTGTGTTTGGCTGCTGTAGATCTACCTGATAACTCAAAGCTGTAGACGCGGTCGATTCGTTTGGGGAACAGCAAATTACAGCATTACGCGCCAAGTCGATTTAAGGCTAAAAACAGGCTCTTCATTTTGCTTCATTTACGCAGCCACATATTAACAATAAACACAAATAAAATAAATTGAACGCAGCGGTTAACTCACCCGTGAGTGGAAGGTCCATTGTTCGCTGAAATTTTAAACCCATCGATAATGCTTCATCTTCAGCCATTCTGCACAACTCCTCCGTAAGCTCCGCTGATTGAATCTGTCCAACATTCCTGCCAGTTGCATAGTTTTCGGCACATATTCCCATGAAAATAACCACAGCCTTGATAAATTTCAATATAGTAACTGTCATACTGCAGGTTCAACCACTTTCTATCCTGTGCCTTTCACGGCACTGCAACTGAAACTGCCAGGTTCAAAGTACCGTGTTATCACATAACATACTCGTTATTCCGGCAAGGTCATTGCTCCTGAAGGATAATTGACAGTTCAGTTCAGAGAGGGCAGCAAAACCACGGAGACATACATAGCAGATGGATTACCTCCTGTCAGCATCTTTGCACTCTATTTATGGTACTGGTGTTGTGTGCCCTTTCGAAAAGGCTATCTTAATGGGATCATCACGAGTGCAACGGAAACAATTATGACCCCAGGCTACTCAACGGGTAAGCACATTCGTTTCACCTTCCTCAGGTGCCAGAGGTTTGCACACATGTAGGATGTCAAAAGCTAGAGTACTTAATCTGATGTGCTGTCGATCCCGGAAACAGATTTCGGCTAAGCATCTATAAAGAGATGTAAAGGTGTGGGGTATCATTTTGTGACGGCCGCCCCTGACGAGGTCAGTATTTTCAATTATTGTGGGATCAGTTGGGTACCAAATTGGTTCAAAGAGAAACTAAAAGGTACCTATTAGAAAATTGAATTGTTGCGCGTATTTGTGCACCACCGTTTGGCTTGGCGCTTCTGTACCCAAGCCGCTACATTTAATGCATCATTCTCCTCCCCGAGCTTTTCAATAACACTCAAGTGTTCGAGCATTAATTACATTAGCTACCACCTCCAGTGCATAGATAACTACCTCATGTTGTATCGTGGGTGGCCGTCTATTGGTTACGCCCGCACTGAACTGCCAATCTGCGCGACTGGGAGAAGAGAGAGAACTCGGGACACGGCTGTATTTTCAGGACAAGACATACAGTGTCTGCGTAAATATATAGGATGACTAAATGGCCAAATACAGTTGTTCAGCTGTTCGTTCTGTACAGCCGACGAGGACGTTCCGGTCGTGAACAATTTCAGGCCCACTAGGTGGTCATATGTTGCTGAGCTGTGTTTGGTGCCGCCATCTCACCTACTTCCCGGACGTGTCGAACCGATAGTGACCTTGGGATGTGTCACATGTGCTTTTTTCCTGTCTGGGTCCGTCCTGACACTTCACCTACCCAAATCATCGGCGAACAAAACTATATCAGCTATAGACGCTTTACAGTGAGGGCGCGACAATTACACTCGATGAATGTGTTGTTGATGATGTTTGGTCTGGAAGTAAACCGGCCTCAGCCTTTACAGATTTCCACTCTCCGGAGGTGCATACAACTTCGGTAGACCCTGTCAATTACACTACCTTATTTAGGCATTAGAACAGTTTAACTGGTTCATTGTGTGAGAGGGGACTTTTCGTAAACGGCGAGAAAACGGGGTCAGGTATTTTTCAGTCAGAGTCGATAGGTCAAGGGGAGTCTAGAATGTGTTACCTGCGAGTACATGGTATACGAATAGGGCAAGGATGGTCGTACAATTAAAGGAGTATAAGTGTAACGTTTAAGCGAAAAATGTAATGTATGCATCACTCTATGATATTGTACACCGGGGTTGTGGGGCTAAGATGGGCAGGGTGAAGGCATCCGCTAGGTAAATGCAGATACCAGGAAAGAGGTTCATAAACCGACGTTTTCTGAGACAGAGATGAACAACGAGTATTCTGCTAGAAACAGTTCAGGAACCAGCTAGTCGATCATCTTTTGAAGGTGTAATCATTCGAAGCACAGAATACTTGCACTGAAATTTTTCCAGGAAGAGGCCACAAATGACGAGGAAAATTAAGGGGGGATGGCTTGAACACTTCCAGACGACAAGTGGGCATTTGGCGCAGGAGATGGGTGTCAACTGTTAGGACAGAAAAGGTGAAGGAGTAGTCCTTGGCGATATGAAAATTCGCCTGGGTTTTAGGGTGGGAAAGCTTCGCTAAGTCGGCCATTGCATGTGGAACGAGTGGCAAATTGATGCAATGGTCTATATTTCTCATCGATGAAACATTTTTGGTGGCTTGTATGCTCTTTAGCCAGCGATTACTGCTGTGTTCTAGCAATAACCAGGAGGAGTAAAGTGTAGTAAAGTTTTGCTGGGTAAGAAATGGTAAGCAGATGTGTATAAGAAGAGCCGCTCAACTGTAGCTATAAAAATAAATGAATGACGCGGGAAGTTGCGGAGAGTTGTACTGCCGGGTCTTTTCTGAGCAGATTTGCCAGGTTTTCGTGAAAAAAGACATTTTTAGTTCGTACCTTGAAATAACTGCATACAACAAACTGAAAATTCGGAAATCTGCAGGGAGTGAACAGACAGTGAATATAAAGAAATGTGAGCGGAAAAGTACAGCTCCGTAGTAAGCCATGCCAAACGCTCCAAGAAGGTGGGACTCCAACACAAGTTTGATATGTCTGATATTGTCGAAGAAGCCATCAATCAACGGAACGTGAGTCTGTTGGGGCCAGAAGGTTACCAAGTTAGCAGGAGAGCTCTACGAGGAATCAGGCAAAAAGAATTCGAAAAATTAGGGACCATGTGGTAACTACAAAAACTTGACAATTTAACAGTTTTGCGAGCTCAAAAGCAGGGCAAGACGAGGTGGACAGGAGGAAGCTGAACAAAAGCACGGTGAGTAGAATGCAGAAAGTTGTTAAAGTGAGACGTTATAAAAAGTTTGCCGTCGATATTGCGTCGGCTTTTAAGGCATATCATTGAGACTTTTGGGAGCCCAAGTGGACAAAGCGTGAAGGAGTCAGTCAATACAATGTGATGGGAGACAGGCCGCTTCCAGAAGGGAGTGAAGTGAGAATGCTGGATTTACGGAAAAGGAACCTGTGTGGGAGGGGAAGTGTGGTAGCATAAGCTTGAGGGGTTTGAGGCACGCTTAGATAATGATACCAGATATTGGAATTGCTGGTTTTTTGCGTTGCTCTGAGCCTTGGTCGATAAGTTACTACAAGGTCACGCCGACGGCAGTTGCGTTATTCCGGTGAACTGATAGGTGTCGGATGTGGTGTCAAAGAGGGGAGCTAGCCGTTGGCTTAGTTGGTGAAGGCAATTGAAGAATGGGTGGGACTTGGAGTAGAAGCAGAATTTAGGTCTGTTTCGGAGTCCCACCAGAGGGGCCGCCATGCAAAAGGACCATTGATGTAAAGCAGGGCACCGAGTGGATAAGACAACTTCCGAAATCATAGACAATGGCTGTGATTTAACTGAGAACAACTGTGAGAACTGATCGGAAAATGATTAGTATGGACCACCACTTACCAGGTCATTGCTGACAGCTCCAAACAGCGGGTTGTGTACGCCGAAAACTCCATCGTTACTTGCCGTGAACGTTACTTCATAGTGAATAAGTAAGTGTCTGTAATTTGTGAGCATGCGACCACCACTGAGAACTGGAGGGACGATAGTTCGTGCTGCTTCCGGCAGACGAAGTGGACTCGGTGTGGTTCAACCCCATATAAGACGAAGCTGGAAAGAGATTTTAATTTGATATAAAGCTTCGGTGTTGCAAATATTCTGAAACAATGTAGTGCACGTAAAATATAAATGGAAGGACAGTTTTTTCCCAAAATTACATGACGTTGCCTGGTAAATTTCACAACGTTGACAAGTTTAAACCAGTAAATGCAGGCGGACATCCACTGTGCGCTTTTGCGGATTACACTAAATTAACGGCAGTCTCACAACCACCGAAAGTGAACGAAGCCTTCGTGCTATTCAAGGAATAACGCACATTGGTGCAACGTAACGGGGCACCCTAGCATGCTTGAAGTACTCACCACGTAAGGTTTTCGTCTATCTTGTATGACTCCAGATCTGCTGTGTAGCAAGCCACCTCGAAGTTACGCTTTTTGGTTGACGCATTAGGAAGTAGTTCCATGTAACATACATTTATCCGTTTATGCAGGGCAGACCTGCATGTACATTCGGTCAGCTTGAACAACCAAACGGCCGCTGGAATAGGCAGGTTGGACCAACATAATTGGATTATGCTGACCTGGTGACGAACTATTTTAAAGAGAACAATTGTTAGTGAGTCTGTTCCATCTGGTCTCTTTATTTTTGTATACCCAACCTAGCGTAGCGT